CTCCGTGTGGTCTTCAGTATGTAATTTGACACTCCCCCCCCCTCTCCCCCCTCTCTCTCTCTCTCTCTCCCTCTCTCTCTCTCTCCTTCTCTCCCCCCACCTCTCTCTGTCCCCCCCCCCCCTTCTCTCTCTCTCCTCCCCCCTCTCTCTGTCCCCCCCCCCCCTCTCTCTCTCCCCCCACCTCTCTCTGCCCCCCCAGTTTGTACACATAGAAACGCCACTGGCCATAACCAACCTCCACTCCCAGCTCCCCTTTTCTAATAAACAAATGTTACTTTCACCAGCTGATTCCGAGTCATCCTTTTACATGTGTTAATAGTCAAATTCCAATAGCTAAGTAAACTATCAAAATCATCCTAATGACCACAGTGGTCAGTCCAGTTACCCAGGAATTTTGAGTTGAACAATCACAGGAATATTATGTCTTTATGTTCTAATAATGTAAAAATATTGTAGTAAATTGTTACCACAGAACATTTGCATAATGTTTTAAACATAAAGCATGTTATCGTTCTCTAAAATAATAACATTCTGGCAACATAACAAATCTAACTTGCAGCTGAAAACGTTTTAAGAACAGTAGGGCATAATGTTCTAACAATGTTATCAAAAACATTTTAAGAATGTTTTTAGAGAACGTTATCCTACCTTTCAGAAGAACATTCTGGGAACCAAAATAAAAGCTTCTGCTGAAAACGTTTTAAGAATAGTAGGGCATAATGTTCTGACAATGTTATCAAAAACATTTTAGGAAGGTTATCACCAAACATTTTAAGAATGTTTTTAAAGAACGTTATCCTACCTTTCAGAAGAACATTCTGGGAACCAAAATAAAAGCTTCTGCTGAAAACGTTTTAAGAATAGTAGGGCATAATGTTCTAACAATGTTATCAAAAACATTTTAGAAAGGTTATCACCAAACATTTTAAGAATGTTTTTAGAGAACGTTATCCTACCTTTCAGAAGAACGTTCTGGGAACCAAAAGAAAACTTCCCGCTGAAAACATTCCTAGAACAATGAATGTAACATTCTCCGAATATTTTTAGAACAAAGAATTTCTAGCTGGGTAGCCTCCTCCACATCCTCCGCAAAGGTACAGATCCTGTGGAAGCGGATCAGCTGGGATTTGATTAAGCCTCTGTACGTATGCTTTGGGTGGTAGCTGGTCCTGTGGAGGAGTGCATGTCGGTCCGTGTCTTTAAAAATCACTTTGGTGGACAGTGTTTTGGTCAGGTCGCTGGATTCACGGAAGACGCAGGTGTCCAGGAACTCTACTGTGAGGGGTTGAAGGGTATGTTTGAGTGTTATTTTAGGGTGATGAGAGTTGAGTGTGTCCATGAAAGTCGTGAAGTCATCGGTGGAGTGGTGCCATAGGCCGAAGATGTCGTCCAGGTACCGGTGATAAAGGAGGGGTTTGAGTGTGAGCTTGATGAAGGCCGTTTCCTCCCAATGGGCCAGGTATATGTCCGCATACGCCGGAGCATACTTGTGGCCCATAGCACAACCGCACAGCTGGAGGTACTGGTTACTATTAAAAACAAAATCATTGCGGGTGAGGGTGAGGTGGAGTAACTGGAGGATGTGACTGTCGGGTCTGGCTGGGTTTGGGTATTTATTAAAGGTGTGTTGAAGTGCAGAGAGGCCAAGTGGAGTTTCAATATTGGTGTATAAGGAGTCTATATCTAAAGAAAAAAGAAGGGTGTGACTGGGAATGGGGAGGTTTTTTATTTTATTAACAAAGTCATATGTGTCCTGGATGTAGCTAGGGTGGAGTTTGGAGACGGGATTTATGAATGATCTATATATTCTGTAATGTTGTAGGTTTCAGACCCGCAGTCACTGACTGAAGTTAGGGTTAGGGTTAGTGTAAGGTTAAGGGTAAGGGTTAGGGTTAAGCATGTGTTGGTTATGGTTAAGGTTAGGATAGGTTTCCTGGAAATGCACGTAAGTTAATGTAATGTCCCCTGAAGTGATGTAAACATGGTGTGTGTGTGTGTGTGTGTGTGTGTGTGTGTGTGTGTGTGTGTGTGTGTGTGTGTGTGTGTGTGTGTGTGTGTGTGTGTGTGTGTGTGTGTGTGTGTGTGTGTGTGTGTGTGTGTGTGTGTGTGTGTGTGTGTGTGTGTGTGTGTCCCATCCAGTTCTTGGTTTGTTGTCTCAGTGATCAATGAGTATTCTGAAACACAAAGGTACAGTACATATAAGTGGATTAAGAAAAACAAGCAAGATATCCATAAAAAAAACATTGTTTACTTCTGGTGTGAGTTTGTGTACCTGTGTGTGCAGTAATTCTAATTCAAGTGTTATCGTATGCGTTAGGATTTCTCTTCCTTTGAACTAATGGCCCAAACCTTGCATTAGCATTTGCTCATACTTTTACTTTTTGGGAGATTTCAGACCACTACGTTGGTGTGAATATTCATTTAACAGTTGGGCTGCTTTTAAGTGTCAAGAGAACACATGAAGGAAGTTGTGAGTTATTTTGATCTTGTTCTCTTTAAAGTGGACCTATCATGCTATATTTAAATGATATATTGTAGGGCCATACCTATATAAGGTATATTTATACGTTTCTGTTTTCAAAATACCAAACAGATCATGCATTTTAGCCATGCCTCATTTCGCTCTATGTGCTGTTTGCTGTCTACGGGTCTGATTCTGCTGACCACGCCCCCCTGCAGGAGAGGGTAGCCGTGCTCTGATCAGCTGCTGGGCTGTCAGAAGAGGGGGAGAAAAAGAGATCTCCGTCCTCCGTGTTTTATTATATAGAGTCGTTATTCATTTGTTTTAAAGCTCAATAAATAACAAAGAAGACCTTTGACCGGCACTTTTCTAATTTTGTCCGGAAGATTTAAACTTTAACGGACATCTTGACCGGCGAAAGCAACTGAAACTGAAACTCTGCCGCACGGTCCCCTCGTTCCTTGGAAGAGGCGGAGAGGTGGGTGTTTGTCATCTGCTGGTGGACTAACCGGAGAGAATTACAGTGCTTGCCTCGACGGGGAGGGATTGCATTGAATTAAAGCAGCGGGAGCACACGCTTGCCTCGGGGAGGGAGAAAAAAAGCCACAGCGGAGAATAAACAGAAGGGTAACCATGGTAAATATGGGCGGGAAGTCTTCTTCGCTGCTTTTGTGGCAGACTACAGCGCCACTTACAGGCCTGGCATATGTACTACAGCGTCTCCAGCGCTTTCGAGCGGCAATGGCCGGCCGTGGCCCAACCCCACATTCCCCTGATAGGTGGAGAGTTGGCCCAATAGCCGTAGCGCCACTTCTGTGACGACATAGAGGTGTTCAAATCTGGATCAGTCTGTATCAGATCCGTTGCAGCCCCTTTTTTAGAGATTTGGGTATGGAGGAAAATAGAGAGGCTTGTGTTTTCTGACACTTGGTGAGTTCCCTGGAACACCGGGGACACATATTCATGTATAAAAGATGTACAAAAGTGCATTTTGCATGATAGGTCCCCTTTAAGTTAAGTCAAAGGCTTTGTATTATACATGAAATATACAGCAGGTGAAACATGTATTCAGGCCTCTTTATCAGAATAAAGACATGAAAACACTGATGCCAAACTGTATTAAAAAGGTGGACACTGTGATTGTTGCCATGGCAGAGTTATTCAGATAGGAGAGAAATATGGGATAGGTCTGTTTAGGTGTGCTGCAAACCATAGCGTGCACTCATTTGACTTGTGATATGTTTCCTCCTAAGTCAAGTAAGAGCAGTCTTTGTTCTTGTTGTGCTGTTTTGATATGTTCATGTAAATGTGATGTTAATATTCCGGGACTCTTCCTGTGCCACACAGCGACTGCCCCAGTGCTCTGTACATGGCCTGGCTGGATCAGTCTGTAATCCCTACTGTATTATGTATATTTATATTTAATATTTTACTTTAAACATGATCTGTGTAGCTAGATAATTACCAGTTAAATAAGTGGTTGTTATCACTATCTTTCTTGTAGAATTCAGACAATAGTTTCCAATCGTTCCATATCAAGTCTCAAGGTTTTTTTTAAGGTATCCCACACTGGCTTACACTTGGTCCTATTTGTTTTGAGAAATTGTTTTCTCAAAAGTATCTTGTTTATGCACGATTATTGCTATTTACTGATCTTGATATACTTTAGGATAATACTATTGAATAGTTATTGGTGTATAAAATGCCTGCACATTTATTTGAATATCCTAGTTCAATAAAATGTATGCTATTAAGAGCACTACAAAGTTCTCCCATTGAAATGGAAACTGGAGTTACCGCCTGGCACTTGTGTGCTTCTACCAACCGGTCATGTAGCAGTTTACATCCATGTCTGTCCAACATGTCATCGATTCATAATTTTATCCTATCAGAAAGTTGAGTGACTTTGTCATAGCTAACATATTAATTCTTGTTACGGCCACAAAATCGTGTTTTGTGAGGTCTCAGAGACTTTTGGCCCTTTGACCACAAGGTCAAACATGTGACAGAAATTGGTTCATCCTTTAGTCCAAGTGGAAGATTGTGCAAGACTTGAATGAATTCCTCACGTTCTCCTGAGATATAGCCTTCACAGGAATGAAATAGCTGGATGGACAGACTCATAAGAATAGAGACAACAAAGAGATAATGTTTTTGACTTGTGTTTCAGAATAAAGAAACTATGTGACTGAAATTAAAATAATATTGACACACTTGTAATATGAGGGGCTCAAATACAGCCAGAATGTTCTCTTAAAGCTGTTTGACATATGGTAACAAGCAATATCCTAACAAAAATATAAAAATATAAACATTCAATAGTTCTCATTAGTGCATATTTTGGAATGGTACCTTTCTTTCCGTGTGTCAGACAGTCAACAAGGAAGTGTGTTCAACTTTTTTCCCTGTTGCATTTAATTAATATTATTTCCTTCAATGAATCCTATATCAACCATGACAGACCTCTTTGACATCTGAATTTTAATATTCAAATGTTTCCCCAAAGGTGGCTCAAAGAGAGCAGCGACCTCGTGGATATCTGAGTCTTCACCAACACATCGAGAGAGACGGAGAGAGAAGCAGCTGACAGGACGACTCAGAAGAAGTAAGTGTGATTCTGTTCAGTCATTTTCATATTTTGTTTATTTCTGAGAAAGATATTCTCCTTCAGAATATTTTCCAAAGGGGAGGAACATTTAATGAATCACATCTCAATCAGAAGTAATGAAATCTAAAACCCTATTATGTTCATTTATTCCCTTAAATCATTTGTTTCTCTTGAAATCACTTGGAATGTTTATTTTTTGATTAAAAAACTCAGTGTTTATTTTGAATAATAAACTTTATCTAATGTTCACTTTAAAACTTTTTTTTTTTACAAAAGATGGGCACTTTACCAAGAACGCTGGACATTTATAATGAAAACTAAACAGTCTGAGTCTAGTGGATATGTTTTGCCCTGAGTTTTACCTTTCAGGTTCATGTTAGGTTTTTAGAGCTTTGTCGGCGATGTATGCAGCCTGTCCCGTAGACATTACTCAGGGTTGCAAACCCTACTATTTTCCTGCTTTAAAAAACGGTGGTAAATCTTAAATGTTTTATTAGAGATGATGTGTATACACAGCAATCTTACTCTCAGTTCAAATAAACACAATGTAATTTCATTAGGGTAAGTTCACCCCTAATAAAATAATTAACACACATCTTTTAATCTGGTTTATAAAAGCAACTATACACAATGTAGTTTTCATTAGGGTAAATTCTCCCCTATCAAAATAATTAACACACATCTTTTAATCGGGCTTATAAAAGCAACAATACACAATTTAATTAAGCTAGAATTTCAGTTGATGTCTCTGATAGTAGGAGTACATTGTAATGTGAATAAATAATCTACAAAATATATCACCAGCAACATATTAATACGTAGCCTCGACAAAAAAACAAACATAAAAAGTCAGTGTTGTTGTGTGGCACTATACAGTTAATGTTTAGTTTGCAACTGGTGTTTCATTGAAATGAGACATTTCCATGTGCTAAAAATAAATGTTATGGTCAAGTCAAGTCAAAGTCAACTTTATTGTCAATCTCAAAATAGCTTTGTACACACGATCGAAATACTGTTTCCCACAGTCCCGAGGTATAAAATAACACATTCAAATACAAGAACACTCAATAATTACAAAAAAACACAAAATAACCGTTTACTTAAGTAAGCAGGATATATATATATATATATATATATATATAAAAAGATGATGTACATAGTGCAAATGAGAGTGCAAAATATTTCCATAGCAGCGTAAAAGTGACTGGTGCTGGATTTGTTGTGTCTGTGTGTGTGTGGGGGGGGGTGTTAAAGTCCCAGACCAGTGGTGGCAGGGTGGAGAGGTGAGATAGAAGGGAGAGAGGGGAGAGGTGAGAGGGGGGGGAGAGAGTTCAGCCTCCTGACAGCCTGGTGGTGTGTGCCTGTTACTGCTGGTGCTGCTCAGAATTTGCATTTCCTTAACATGAACTTCCTCATTAAACTGCTGCACTGAAGGGAGTGGTGCAGTCTGTGTTTCTGGTCATTTGACTGACCCATTAGGTTTTTTAAATAATTTAAATGTAACTGACATCATTTATAAGATTTGTAAATGATCACTGTACACTAACAATGTTGGTTTCATCTAACAGAGCAAAGATGCAGTGGAGTCTGTTTGTGCTCATTCTGATGGGTAAGTGGATTTTAAATTAAATCACATCTGGAGTCATGAAACTGCTCACTCTTCATAACATTAAAAAGTGGAATAAGTGTCCTCAGACCCCCGTTAAGATGAAGGGGATGGTGTAAGAGGTGGGGGTGATTCGAGTACTCATGAGTTTGATTTAATGATCAGATGCTTGTCATACTGTCAGCTCCATCACTGCAGAATTGTCTCTGTTTTTAGGTCAGTGTTCCTTCTTCACATGTGACCTCTATGAGTACCACTTCATTCCTGAGGGAAAGACCTGGGATGAAGCCCAGAGTTATTGCACAGAGCATTTCACTGACCTGGCCACAGTGTCTGACATGAGAGACGTGGAGAGACTGACTAACTCTTCACAGACTACAGACGCCTGGATTGGACTGAGGAGCATCAATGAAAAAATGATCAAAGAGTGGCACTGGTCTCTGTCGGGGGAGAAGTACAATCCTACAGAATGTAAACCAGAATGGGAGAAAGATGAGCCGAACAATGATCGTGTCGATCCTGAGAACTGTGTGGTGATTAAACCCTCCCAAAAATGGTACGATGACCATTGTTCTCGCACCCCTAAAAAGTTTATCTGCTACAATGGTGAGTATATGTCACTATTACGCTACATAAATGATATCATACTGTGTAACAATAGTTGACAGATAACACATGTTGTACACTGTGGTTACATTTAATGAAAATAAATGTTGCTTTTTACTTTTAAAATAACATTATTGGTAACTTTGATACAATTCTACTTGTTTGAATAAATTGTAATGGTAAAGTATAGGCCTTTTTTTTATTATGCAATCTACATTATTATACCAAACACTTTCATCAATCTGAAACTTAAGTGAGATTGTGTTCATATTTTTTTTACATTATTTTTTTTAACATGATTTAAATAAGAGAAAATTATTAAAAAACTTGAAAAATGTGTCTTTTCATTCTCACAGAAACAGGGCAACCTAAATACTTTTTAATTGATGAATCAAAGAACTGGCTTCAGGCTCAGAGCTACTGCAGAGAAAATCACACTGACCTGGTCAGTGGATTCACACAGATCAATTCAGCAGATTTCAAGGAACGGGTCCAAAAATTCAAGGAACGGGTTGATGAATTCAACAAAGACGTTAGTACTGATCACCATAGGTCTTCTAACTTGTGGATCGGCCTGTTCAGAGAGATCTGGAGTTGGTCAGATGGGAAGAATTTCTCTTTCAGACACTGGGATCCGGACTCATTTGAAGATGAAGCCTCAAAGACATGTGCCATGACTACGCCAAATGGAAAATGGAGCTCCGACAACTGCACAGAGGAAAAACCCTTCTACTGCTATGACGGTGAGTTTTTCAAAAGTCTATAAGTAAAGTATTCTTATTTCATGTCTTCAGTTATATATTTTTACATTCATGTTGAATATCCTTTAGTTGTGCAAATATGTTTAATATACACAGAATTACCGATCTGGATTCTGTCCTTAATCTTACGATAGACTGTGAATATAATATTCTTACTACTTAAAGTTTGAATATCATTTAGTCATGTTTTTGTCCTTAAGACGCATCTTTTTAACCTGGCTTTTACATAAGGTGCCACGTCATCTCTGGCCTTATATTTCCTTACCATTCGTTTTTATTCCATTTGTATCTTATTTATTTATTTTTTGTGGGGACTTGTATGTATTTAAAAAACATAAGGATTATTGTAAGAAAGGTTCTATATTATTACAGTTGAGTTTTTCTGCAATAAATAGTTACCCTAACTAAAAAATATATCCATTTCAATTACAGACAAAGTGATCCTGATCAAAGAGAAGAAGACTTGGGATGAGGCCCTGACTTACTGCAGAGTGAACCACCATGACCTGGTCTCCATCACTGACAGACACCAGCAGAGATGGGTCGAAAAGAGAGCCAAGATGGCCGACACTGAGTTCGTCTGGCTGGGAATGCGCTACACCTGCACTCTGGATCTGTGGTTCTGGGTCAGTGATCGTCTGGTCTGCTATCACAACTGGGCCACAGACGAAATGGCTGACTGTGGCATGGCTGGAGTCATGGAGAGAGATGGAAAGTGGTACAAAAAGGCTGACAATGAAAAGTTTCATTTCATCTGCGCTAAGTAAACCCATTGGTCTATTTACTGCTACAAGCTCACTCTTCTCTAATCTGTATCTGCTCTCTGGGTTTATTGAATGGCTCTAGTTCAAATATAGAAATCACAACCTGAAGAGGGGAGAAACTAAATTACCAACAGATTACTAACTGAAATTGAGAAAAAGGGGCGACACTAAATTTAACATATATTTGCCTGTGTGAACATCTGAATGACTTTATGATATGGATTTGTTGTAGTAGTTATTCATATAGTACATGTATATGTATCCTCTTAAAGTGTGAAACCTGTAATCTTCATTTGAATTGTTGTTGTGTCCTATTATATGTTCATGAGAAAAAATATATAAAAAGACAAATCTATAATGTTTTGATTTTCATAAAATGTTTTACGTTATGGTTGGAATGTGGTGATGGTTATAATATGTGTATCACTATTTTTGTCATATTTACCTTTTGTGGAGTTTTAACTGGATGTTTAATTGTCTAAAGCTGAATAAACGATCTGACCCAAAAACAAGGTGTGGTTCTTTCATCCACTGGCTTTGAATAGTCATGTTTTACATTTACATAAGAGGTGCTTATTTAGCACACATAGTAAAACACATATATAATCTATGTGTTTATAATTGTATAAACTTGTAAATTGATGGAGATATTTTTGTTGGTCTAGTTATCTTTTAAAGGTCACCTATCATGCTATTTTTAGGCAATAGCATAGGTCTCAGATATATACAAATAAATAAATAACATGTCTATGAAGTGTTTAGCTCAAAAAACCAAACAGATCACCAGGGCCGTGGGTCCACATTTCAGATATTACGTCATATCGGACGCAAATCTGGATCAGCTCCGTTGTAGCCCCGTTTTTAGAGATTTGGGTACGGAGGAAAAGAGAGAGGGTTTTATTTCCTGACACTGCGTGAGTTCCCTGACACACCGGGGACACATATGTAGAAAAGACATCGAAAAGTGCATTTTGCATGATAGGTCCCCTTTAATATTAAATAAGCCGAGTCATACTGAAACAACTCTCTGAACTGCTGTTTTTCAGGTTGCTTATCTTCCGGCATCTTCCATCAGCTCTGAGTCATTTGAGAGGAAATCCAATTTCCCCCGAGAGGAGCATTTATAGGATCAATACTCTCTAATTGATATGATTGATACGACAAAGTAACACACAACCACAGCGTAATTATTTATAAAACAAGAATAGGAGCTCGAATCCAACACACGGTCCACCTTCTTATTTTTATCTCGAGTCCTGAGGGTAGCATACTTCCCGTAAACACACACACACACATACACACCCTAAATATGCTCATGACATGACATGTCATGAGCATATTTACCCACAAGCCCAGTGGGTCACACTATAAATAGAGGAGCAACAGAAATCCCCCCCGTCCGCTCACACTCTGCTTCTGTTTCTGAACACTCGTCTGCACCTCAGATCATTTTATATCTCCTCACTCTTTTATTGGTCAGTGTTCAAATCAAGTGTTTTAGGCGTTGCAGTCAAATCCATAAGTCACATGAGCATTACAATTCCTCGCTGGGTCACATGAAGCATCTTAAAATCCACTTTTCGTTGTGTTGCAGCTTCACACACACTTTCAGTAATCCTAGCACAGCATACAGTAAAGCACAGACTTGTAGATTGTTTGGATGTTTTATATAAAGACATGTTATTTTCTTTATAATCCCAACATCCAGATTTAAACCTGTATTTGTGAGCAGATTAAAATGAGGTAGAGGAAAATGTCTTGTTTTTTCCACGGATGCTATATCACATTTTGGCCATGTTTTCCCACAGTATTAAAGGGTAAATAGAGAAAGCTTTTAGAGCTAACTGGTCCTATAATGTTAGCAATTGGGGTCTATTGTCTATTTTACCTGAATCAGCTCTTAACCACTGCTTTATGTTCAAATATTTGATTTATTTATTCATATTTCCCCCACAAAATAACACTAGAAACTCTTGTCTTGTAGCATTGTCATCTTTTTCTATCGCTGCAACAAATCTGCATCGACCACACTTTCCCCGACCCACTCTTACCCTTTGTCTGTGTGTGTGTGTGTGTGTGTGTGTGTGTGTGTGTGGTGTGTGTGTGTGTGTGTGTGTGTGTGTGTGTGTGTGTGTGGTGTGTGTGTGTGTGTGTGTGTGTGTGTGTGTGTGTGTGTGTGTGTGTGTGACTGTGTGTGACTTGGCAAAGTTTGGATTGCTGATGATGTGCAGGCATGAGTGACCTGAAATTAAAGGCCACTGTGTGTGTGTGTGTGTGTGTGTGTGTGTGTGTGTGTGTGTGTGTGTGTGTGTGTGTGTGTGTGTGTGTGTGTGTGTGTGTGTGTGTGTTTGTGTGCATGAGTCAGCCAGTGCACCATGCTGGCTGTGTGTGTGAGAGAGAGAGAGGGGGGGGGGCGAGTGAGACAGCTGAGTGTTGCAGCTCTGGTTTCTCACTCTCTATTCGCCCTCTTTGTCTCTCGTCCACTTCTTCTCCCTCTCTCTTGTTTTAAGGATACTTTTTGGGATATACTGACCGACGCCCATATATGGACATTACTGTATCTGGGATTTGACAGAGCTCTGCTGTGTGTGTGTGTGTGTGTGTGTGTGTGTGTTTGTGTGTGTGTGAGCCATGTTGCGTGTGTTTATTCTGTGTGCAGAGCGTCTGCATACGCCGGACGACGACATCAGTGATGCCTACTGCAGCGTCAAATATGAAGGTAGTGTGTGTGTGTGTGTGTGTGTGTGTGTGTGTGTGTGTGTGTGTGTGTGTGTGTGTGTGTGTGTGTGTGTGTGTGTGTGTGTGTGTGTGTGTGTGTGTGTGTGTGTGTGTGTGTGTGTTAGAGAGACAGACAGACAGCGAGAGAGAGAGATTGAGACATCATGGCAGAAATAACAGATGTTTGGGTAATAAGGGGTGAAGTTCATGTAAAAAAAGAGAGTGTGTGTGAGGCTTGCATGGCACAATATTGATCCAATCACACACACACAGACACACACACACCCTGTCTGTAACAGCTGAGGTTATTATTGGACAGTCATGTCTTCCAGTCTGTTGGGGCGGGGCGGAGGGAGAGAGATAGAGACAGAGATAGAAGAAGAAGAAGAAGAAGAAGAATAAATGGAGAGATGTAATGATGTGGGAAGAAAGCCAGAAGAGTTATTTAAATAGTACATTAAAGAGGCTCTATTGTGCTTTCTGGAGTTTTCCATTTCCTGTAGTGTGTGATGTAGGTTTTAGTGCATGTAAATGGTCAACACTGCACACAATGTAGAGCGGAAACTATGTGTCCAATACTTACTTTCATTGATTCATGATTTGACATGATAGGTTTCCTGCTTTCCTTATTAATTGTAATGTGTTATTTCTTATTTAACAAGCCCATCAGTGGATTATTGTAGAAAATGATTCATTAATCCACAACGTAAATATGAATTAGCTATTTGTTCAAAATGAGCTCCATCTCAACCAAATGCAAGAATAAAATCCTGCATTAATGCGTGGGAATAATGATATCAAGTATAATAGTATAAGAGTCAAAGGGGACTTTTAAAATTGGCATTGACATTACTACTTTAACTTAAAAGATCTGAATACATTATCCACCACTGCTTGAAATCAGAGGATGCAGTTAAGAGGGCGGTCGTGTGTGTGTGTGTGTGTGTGTGTGTGTGTGTGTGTGTGTGTGTGTGTGTGTGTGTGTATGTGTGTGTGTGTGTGTGTGTGTGTGTGTGTGTGTGTGTGTGTGTGTGTGTGTGTGTGTGCATGCAGTAAAGCATGGCTGTGTTTATATTCAACACCATTGTTTACGCAGAACGTCCTCCTTTGGGCCTCCCATCTTCCTGCCTCTCTCTCTCTCTCAGTTCTCCTCACTTCTCTTTATTTCCATTTCTTTCATTATGTTAGTCTTTTGTTTTGTTGCCGTGTTTCAGTTAGATTCAGATTTAGATTCTTCTGCTTCAGAGTACAGGAGATACAGTCGAACACACACTGAGTTTCATGAACTCATGACACTTTGTCTGTTTGCTGCACAAACGTTTCCCTGTGTAATGTAGGGCAATGCCTGCAGTGTGTACACACACACACACACACACACACACACGATATTGTTTGATTTTAACTTGAAATTGTGTTCTATTGGCTACTATTTCCCCCGCTTTTTAGACCAACTAGACATACTTTAAACCTTAAAGGGGACCTATCATGCAAAATGCACTTTTTGATGTCTTTTATACATAAATATGTGTCCCTGGTGTGTCGGGGAACTCACGCAGCGTCAGAAAATAAAACCTTCTCTTTTTTCCTCCGTACCCAAATCTCTAAAAACGGGGCTAAAACGGAGCTGATCCAGATTTGGGTCCAATATGACGTAATATCGGAAATGTATGCTGGCTTTACACCCACGACCCTATCAGAAACGTTGCTATCAGAAACAATGCTGTGTCACAAACATTGGTTACTGCAGTCAACTGTATTAAAAGGACATTGTTTCTATCAGGATTAAAAGCAGAGCTCAAATTATATTAAGCATCAGTGATCATAAGAACATGAGGAACTAGAGAATGCAATTCCTGAAGAAATTGCTAGTGGGAATGCTTTATGCTGAAAAGCTGACGCTAAACTGCTATGCTGAAATGTAATGTGTAAGAAGAAAGTGAAGAATTTAGATTGAAATGATACATGAAAACTGGGGGCTTGAATGTGTGATGAGTGAAGAAAAGAAAGTAAAAAGGCTTGGAAAAGCAGCAGAATATTTGAACTGCAAACTTTTGAACTAACTTGATGGTGAATGATCTGTCGCCATGGCAACGGCATTTGATGACACCCCATAATACGCTTAGATGCATTGATGGCTGCATCGTTACCAAACCTGTGAAGTTTTGGGCCGTTTGGAACATTTTCACTGAAGTTATGAGAAAACCGTGTTTCATGGCGAGCATTGTGTTGCCATGGCAACGGCATTTGAAGAAACCCCATAATTGACGTAGAGCTGTTGAGGGCTGGACCGGTTATATACAAGCGAAGTTTGGGGGACGATCGGACCGTTTCCATTGGACTTACAGCGACATCGTGCTTCATGGCGAAGTTATGAGAAAACCGTGTTTCATGGCGAGCATTGTGTTGCCATGGCAACGGCATTTGAAGAAATCTCAAAACTGTCTCGTAGATGTCTTCACGGCTGGACTGTTAGCACACATCTGAATTTTGAGCACTTTTTGAACATTTTCACAGGAGTTAAAGGGACATCGTGTTTTATGGCGAGGGATGCGTTTCCATGGAAACGGCATATGGTGAGATTTCAGATTTGGCGTAGAGCTGTTGAGGCATGGACCGGTGATATACAAGTGAAGATTGGGGGACGATTGGACCGTGTCCATTGGACTTACAGCGACATCGTGTTTCATGGCGAGTGGTCTGTCGCCAACGGCATTTGATGACACCCCATCTGTGTTTTGAGTTGCACTGTTGGAGAAGCCTGACACAAGATTTTCATCGACATAACTACACTGTTGCTATGTTCGTTTGACAAATAAAGAACCTTGAACCTTGGACATGCGGTGTATTTTGCATATCTCTCAGTAGCCAACGATCTGTGAGTCTGTTGGCTCGGACATAAACTCCGTAATAAATGTAGTCTACATTTCATAAGAGGTGTAAAACCTGAGAGCATTTTAAATCTTATTTAACTAAATGCTTATATAATCTGTAGTTGTATCTGTATTGTTGATTTATTGTGTGAACGAGGCGATATAGAGAAGGTTAAGCTGTCATTATTAGGCTGTTATGTACTGTTGGAGTGGTAAGCAGGCCTATTGTTTTGGGATATTTGTGGAGTCAGGTGGTCCGTGAGTGTTTTTGTATTGGTTAAGTGGTCCTTGGTATGAAAAAGTTTGAGAAACACTGCGCTAGTGGATTGTCATAAAAAACACTTGGAGATAAAAAAGCCAATCATTGACATGTCTTGAATGTGTTCAAACTACAGGAAAAATGAATTTAAGGCGCTGTCTTTGAATATAATTTACCTTAGTCAATGAGTGTAGTGGAGAGTTAGAGATAACTCAGTGTTGGCACTAGTTTTGTGTTTATCACTAGGTTCACCCAGGTGTGTCGGCCAGAACACCACTTAAGGCCAAAGGTCCAGAATAGAGGAAATGAGGAGCTAAGATGAGGCTTGACTTCTTTACTGATTCAGGCAGACATACAGATATTTGTGTGTGGTTTTTCCTATAAGGGAAATAAACAAAATACAATCAATATAAGATAACTTATGCATACATACATAATATTGCCAAACCCTATAGAAATAATAATCTAGACATAATACAACATGTCTCCCTTCTCTTATAATCATAAACACATTAACATATAATGTCAAACACTGGCCGTTTCTCAATCTCGAGGAAACTGGCTTCCAAGCCAATATTTCAAGGATGCTACGTCATCGAGTGCCGCCGAAGGACTGTTCCAATCTCCAGCATACTTGGAATTCCACCGAGGCCGCGTCCTTGGTTTGGGGGAAATTTCGAGGCTGCACATGTGTAGACTTCGCGTCCTTAAAATCCCCACAATGCTTTGCGCACGGACCAATTTCCCCAAATCTGTGGCGGAAAATGTAAGGCGGGGCCTCTCATATGACGCACACCTGCACACTTGCTAGCCTGTTCCACTTTTCGTTTTCCGAATGCCAGGAAGTATTCTTGCCTAGCTTCTGAAGGAAGTGACTCGGAAGACATGTGCTACCAAGCAAGCGTACTCGCGATTGAGGAACACCCACTCATTACCAGGGACACGCAGAGATTCAAAGTTCAGCTACCGCTAATGAATAACGTTCCACTTCCGGTTGGCGGAAAGCGGCAGCCGATGCTCTTATTGTGAAACGCTACAGACATGCTACTTCCGGTAGCCGAGTAGCGGAGCAATAAATGAACTGTAAACACATAATATCTCACCTTTAACGCCACATAAACATTTATCCACATAAACTACATCCTATTACATTAATAATAGGTCTGTGCCACTCAACACGGTGAATATACCCCTAATCTTGAGACAGGAGTGCCGACTCACTTGACTGAGTGACTTAATGAGCAGCCATAATAAATATGCACGCAGCATGCACAGATCACATGAGCACGGAGACTCTGCATTAAGCCACATCGGCACAGAAGTTATCACAATAATAATAAAGTGTAGAACAACATAACAGGCAGCACTGTGGACAAACACTCACGTTCATTTACGCACACAATACGAAGGTTAAGACGGCATAACTTTCCTGCAACTACTGACGCACATTACCCTCTGATGTATGATGTCACCCAAAACACGTGGGTTAGCCCCTCCCCACTATGAAGGCACAACTTAACAGGTATAAACTCTGTATAATAAAATAATATATATATATCAATAACTATAACTTTGGGGCCTTTTCTACATTGAGGGTAGTTTTATTTTTAGATCTTAGAAAACCCTGGAAACCGCTATTTTCTATCCAAATAAGACCTCCAGAGTCCTTCAAAAATATCTTTAATTTCACGTATAAATTGAGGACATTACCGTTTTAAGACTTTTAAGGCAGTCAGATGTGTGTTTTAGGCAAAAATGGGATTAAAAATGCAAGATCTTTTTTGGTTTGCACTTGGTTTTTCATGCTTGAATCCACAAAATGACACAAACAGAGATAACAGGGATTAGATTAGAGGGGAATGTTGTGGCAAAGATGTGGGAAAGATAGGGAAACATCCAGGAGACAAGGGAGGAAAAGAGAACAGGAAATGTTGAGATTTCCTCTGGATGTGAGGTGTTGTTCTCTGTTTCCCTGCGAGTGTGTAGAGAGAGTCAGAAAGAGGCTTTGTGGACGCTATCGTGTGGGAAAAGAGCTTTTATTTTGTCGTTTCTGCTGGAAAACAACCATATTTTTGCGTCTGTGGGAATTTATCTCGCCAATCAAGTCATGGAAAAGCGTTAGAATTAAATCCGACGTTGCAGAAGACCTACTTTCAAGTATTGGATATCTTTTTTTGGACCAAAATCATTCTCTTTTAAGCTTTTTCTGATCCCCACATCTTCTTGGCACCAGTTCGTCTTCCCTTTGTTGGTTTTGCCGGTCGTTTTCAAAGCTCCCGGGGTCATGTAAGCAGTTACTTCAACCGTTGGATCCTTCTTTCACCTGCTGTCGTTGAGTTGAAGAAAAATCCCAACACAGTTCTTTGAGCCTCGCAGGTTTCAGGAAGTTTCAGCCATGTTACGATGCATTATTCAACGAGCCAACAACCTGAAACACTCTCATCCTCTGGCTAGTGTCTCCTTCAGAGGTAAGAGGATCATGGGAGAGTCAGTTATTGGACTCAATGTGGGAGAAAATGCTACTCTAGCACCAACAAATGTATAAATAACATTCAAAATAGGTACTAAGAAAGTGTCTTGTTGCAAAATCTCTAAAATGTAACTTTATAGATATATTTAAAGTCATGTTTTTGAACCATTACTGATTTTTGGCTCGTGTCAGTCAAGATTTTATGGTTGTTTTATTGTCGCAAAGTTTGAGTTTTAAGGTCAATAGGAAACAAACTGATGATTTAACTTCCACTCAATGTGAAAACCTTGATTGTTATTATTGTTTTCTCATCGATCTTGTCTCTATTGGGGAGAAACCATGCACTTCCAAGCCTTTTCCGAGGAACAAGCCTTGTTTTAAAGCAGGTTTTATTCAGTTTTTCATGTTTGATTGAAGGTTTACATACTTGAATATGTTAGACAACAGTCTTGTGATGAACCCATCTTCAATCATCGTCTGAAATCTGAAGTATTTCAAGACGAGGTTAAGTCAGGGCGTCAAAGGAAAGTCAAATTGCTTCTTCAGAAGCACATTTAAAGTCTCGATCTTGGCTACATGCAACCATGTCTCCTCAAGATATTACTCTCCTAAAAAACGTCAATGTATTCTTAATTGAGTTTTAAGGAACCTGTCTTTTCTCCCGTGTTACAGTTTCAGTTTCAGTTACGTACTTTAGGTTGCACACTTAAGTATTAAGAAATAAGTCAACACTAACCCGTCTTTACACGCTGACTACTGGATAAAGATCATGGCTTTGTTTGAGTTAATGGACTGCTGTAAACTCTTTACTGCAAGAAATGTCACTCTGTCTAAGATACCTTTTAAGTAATGCATGTAGGACTCAAAAGCGGTGCTTATAGAGTGTCTTTTATTGCAAATCTTAAGTCTTAAGTATTTTAAGACAAGGCTGAGTCAAGCCTGTTCTCAAACCAAGTTTCAGGTCCTTGAAGGATAGTAAAAATGCATGTTCAAACACAAATTTAAAGTCTCGATGTTGGCTACATGCAACCGTGTCTCCTCAAGATATTACTCTCCTAAAAAACTTCAATGCATTCTTAATTATTATTTTTCTTCTTTGTTACAGTTTAAGTTTTAAACACATGGGTACCGTTGTAAATAGAAACAAAACCCAACAAAACTACTTGGTTTGGTTTAGCAAAATATCTTAGTTTGGCTTAAAATAAACAAGTTTGTACTTAACTGAAGTTATAATAAGTCGACGTTGACTTTTCGTTTCATGTGTCCTCCTATTTGAATAGAAATGAATACATGATACGTCAAAAACAAACCTAATTGGATAGAAAAGCTGCTTCTCTTGACACAAAATTGCCATTTTATTGTTTATTGTTGCTTAATTTTTAGGAATCTAGGTTGCTTTCTTATATATCTATTCAACGTAAGAACATGAAACCTGAGTTTTAAGTCTAGCAGCACCCAAGATAAGCTTTAATTGTTGTGCCTTAAATGTGAAAATGGAATTCTACTCACTCTTTGTCCTAGAAAATCTAAATGTTCACTACAGTTCACATTTATTTAATATTTCTGGAGGACAAAACCATTTTTAGACAATTTTCCTTATACAGCATCTTAGCTTAAAGGCTTTAATCTGTGTTTCCCATGGCAACAACTGCCTGGATATCTCATGTACTGGTGTTGCTAGGAGACTAAGTGTAATTCTCCTACTGTAGCACGTCATATAACTCACTTTTTAGGATATATCTGTCCCTTTTACAGCTTTCATTCAGCATTCAGGAGGATCAGTGTGTTGTGTTGTAGCTACAGATGAGCTTTGTCGATGCAGAAAATAAGAATCTGTTTAATCGAATGTCT